ACCATGAATTCTTCAAATACATTTAACAAATTATTTATGAAATATAAATGTCGGAAAAGCCAACTTTCATGATAATTAAGATTATTTGTATTGCAGGTGTTTCTTGGAAACTACAACGCTGGCTCGTTTGTGACTCAAGAAATCAACCCATCAATCCATGCGCGCTTCATTCGTATCCAGCCCACTGCATGGTACGGCCGCATTTGTTTGAGGACTGAGCTTTATGGATGTCTCGTTGAGGTGGGTAAATTCCTGCAAGCATCTTGTCTTAGGTTCCTTTACTTGGGTGTATTTTCTTCAAATTCATCTATCATTAGTTTGATGTGCTTTGTTGTTCATTTTCAGGGAATCGGAGAGTGATGTCATCAACGCCTATAAACCAGGACCGCGTTTAATACTGATTTTTGCAATGTTAAACTATATAGTTACCATAGTGTGAACTGAACCTTTCTTCAAACTTAGAGACTGTAATTGCAGTAGGTTACTGCTACTGCATTCGCTTTTGTTTTTTTTTTAATGAAAGTTGAAGAAGTCACTGTTGTGGCTAGTAGTTTACCAATGCAAACGTCCGTATTATACATCTAATAGTACATGTTAATAATTTAAAATATAAGATTCTTGTCATAATCAATGCCGTCACGCATGTATCCATTTCACTTTACAAGACTTTTCTCATCTTTTCTCATCTTTTCTTCCTTTATTGTATCATGAAATCAATTTTGTAACGTTCCCAGTATCTTCCCGCTTGTCATTGATATGATAAATAAGATAAGACTAACTTATGTAGATGACGAACATAATAAAAAAAGACTTTGGTCTTGCAACTCTCTTTAGATAAACGATCCTCTTGAATTAAACTTACATTTTGCTCGATCTTCAGAATGGCAACGGGCATTCTATGGCCATAGTAACGCGCACTTTTCTTGTAAGACTCTATTTGATAAAACAAACAGAAAGTACGGTGAATACTTTGAAAACAAGTTATGGACGTTCAGCGCTAGATCGTTTTTCACCAGTGTCTGCGGTGTCAGTTTCCTCGGGATTTTATTCACTCTCTGCATGGGCTTCCTGTGCAGCTGTCTCTTGAGTCACGTGACCTGATGTTTGTATTCGTTCAACACGAGAGGTTGGTCCGGCTTGCTTWCCAACCACAAATCCCAACTTTCGATACTATTTTATCAAGTATATGAATAGCTAATACMAAGCYGTCCAATAGAGAGACATTTCTATCCTCTAAGCTCCGCKACAGCTTCAAAATTAGMTTGAAATTGGCTGTATATTTGAAGGAATTTKCAAATTATTCAGCAAGTGTTCAGGACCACCGAGCGTTTTGTCGTGGGACCCCGAGGACAAATTCCTGGTATTTTATTTCTGCGAAAAAGCAATCAAATTGTAACTTGAGAGTCCAAGTTGTAGTATCTGGAAGCGTGCTGAATTGCTACAGGGTGTAGTGAGAAACTTCAGTGAAAACGATGAAAGTTAAGCTTACATGGTAAGTTCATCCATAGCACGCGACGGAACAGCTCTTAACTTATAAGTATCGAGCTAAGTTTGTGTGAATGCTTTAACATTTGCGTTGACATTCTAATCAAAGCTGAGAATGGAAATATTCTGTATTATAAGTGTCTCTTTAGAGACTACTCTCTGTCCTTGATTACCAACTAATACGCCATCTTAGTTCATTCATTGAACCGCGAAGGAGGCGATAATTTAGAGCTTTTCATTGCTTTGTATTAAACACAAACGATTTATTTTGGCTCCTAAATTAAATATGATAGAATTTATTGTGAARCTAATAGCGTTAGAATGGGTAATAAACAGCTAGCATTCAATATCGACGGCTTGAATCTCCAGTGCCATTCATCAAAACTACATCAGATGTGATRGCATCGTTGAACGTTGTACTGACTTGTTTTCAACACACAATCTTCGTTATTCTTTGCATTGAGAGGTAAATGCATTGTCCCTMCTTCTYTTTTACATGTTCATGTCAAATCTAACGATCGAAGAACTCTTATTATTATAAGCTTACTAGAAATCTATGTTGAACTAATTTTAGCTTATTGATATTCTCGATGTATTTCATGCATGCCTGCTAACTTAACTCTGTAATCCCGATAGCTTTAATATTTCCTTTTTTTGAATATTAATCCCATCATCCGTTCCTCTCTCTAATGTCTATTACAGCTTTCCTTCGAAATAGCTAGTAATATTTACACGCAATGTTTGGATTGTAAATGTACACTGTCATTGTGCCCTGCCATGTTTTCTCGATTTAGCGTGTTGTATAAGTACAACCTCTGTAGCTGTGGCAACAGAATTCACGTCTTCTGCGTTTAAAATGCTAGAAATCTTTTGCTGAATTTCTGTTTCGACTACATTGTATGATATTGTGTATATTTAGCGAGCCATTACATTCCAAAGTAATGATTGATCATAGTCTAGTTCAATAATAATTATTGATATCATTCAAGCACATCATACAATTGTTATGGTAATTTATTGTATGCTTGTCACATACGTCATTGTAACGCAATAGCGTRCATGCAGAATAAGCTAGAGTGTGAATAAACAACATTTTATTAATACCAGAACAATACAGCCATCATTTATTATTAGATCAGGTATTTYTGTAATAGTGAGTGTCTAAGACTTTACAATTAGAAAATAGGTAAAGAAGTCGTAGAGTGGTCCCTCCATTACTTACTTACAGTTGACTATCTACACGTTTGATATTAGATTTTGGTATGAGATTAATATTCTTGTTCTAGTTTATCAGCTATTAAGTTATTTTTATGAAAGTATTTGATATACATTTTTATGGCTTTTATGATGTATTTTATAATCTTAAGTACAATGTAAAACTGGTTGATTGTAATATTAATTGTCACAACAATTTTCACATTGTTTGTTTTCATATTGCAGACTTATGGTGTTCGGTTGTGTTTAAAGTTTATCAACAAACCTGAATATATATAAACAATGATTGCCTGAGGTAAGGCGAACTTACAGCTAACTTTGTCTTATATGCCATATCTCATGCCAAAATATTGACAATGAATGACAAAATGGTTATAATATTTATGAATTGTACTATTTGTCTCCATTTCAGATAAACATTTACTGTATCTGGGACCCTCAATTAAGGTAGTTGATATTACTGTCATATTTGAACATGTAGATGGGAGTGTTTTTTAATTCAAATGACTTTACTCTGACTTATTAACATTGTACAGCATTTCTCAGACTGTGTATATTGTTGCATACCTATTAAAACATGAAAATTGTAATCTTTAGCATCCAATATGTCCAAGTCAGCAAGTCAGTACAAAGCAAGAACCAACTTTTTGTTGGAGGTAATATATATTTATTCATTGATAATATTGAATACATTAGTATGATTTTTCCAAGCATTCTTACACCATTTTATGGCTTCAGTGTCTTAAATAGTGTAATTTGTAAGGTAATTCTTTGTTTGTTTGTTTTTTTCATAGCACTTGGCATCTTTTACCATGAAAAGCAACCAAGAGGCTCAGATACCAGCCAAGGAAAGGCTAGCAGAAACGAAGGTAATATTGAGTGCAATAATATGATCTAATATTGATGTTGATATTCAGCATTTCCATGAGAATTAAAATTACTCAAAATCTTTTTCTCCGAAGGAAATGCTGGCCAAAGGTACATTGTGGACAAAGGAGATGGAGATGCGTCTTACAGATAATGACATTGTCTTGCTTGATGGAGAAACTCAGGTACTAAACATGTATAAATCCAGGGGTTTCATTAAAAGCTGACAGCCACCAACATCCTACACACAAGATAAAGAATAGTGACCTTCATTTTGCTATTTGCTCAATGTATAATTTATTTGTTTACAAGGATCCTACACACGATTAAATAATGACCTTCATTTTGTTATTTACTCAATGCATTTATAACAATTGTGTTTGTTTACCAGGATGTTATTGAAGTGTATCCGCTGTCCAGCATCAGTGTTGTGCAGCATATCAATGAAGATTCTGATTTGAATAGCGTTTTGCTGTTTACCACACAACAAACTGATGAAAAATATGCAGCAACACATCTCTTCCAGTCTGACAGAGTTCCAGTAAGTAGCACAATAATAATAATGTACCAGTCTACAGTCTTTTCAAAAATAAACAGAACACCCTACTCCCTTTCCCCACTGCAAGGTTGCACACACGTTTCTCTCCTCATCCTTGTCGATTATAGCAATTCATTGACAAACAGCATTGTAAAAGGGGAGGGGAGGTTGTAATATTGCAATCATAGATTGTATTTCAGTGTCTAGTGGAAAGGAAGATGTTTATAGACCTTTCTC